TGGCGTCCATGTGGGGATTATCGCGCACACAGTAACGTTACTGTTCTCGACGACTATCCTTTTCTTCACATTCAGGACATCACGGCTAGCCTGCGCGGCATCCGTGTGTTCTCGAAAAGCGACCTGGTTCCCGCTTATCACCAGATTCCAGTCGCTGAGGAAGATATACTGAAGACTGCCGCAATCACGCCGTTTGGGTTCTTCCAATTTTTGCGTATGTCCTTCGGTCGCCGCAAAGCAGCCCAGAATTTTCATCGATTCAATCACTAGAGGTCTAGCTTTCCTCTATCCATACATCGACGATATCCTAGTTGCAAGCGCTTCAAAAGAACAACACGCAGTACATCGCAAGATTCTTTTCGATAGGCTGGTCGCTATTAGCATCACTGTCAACGCTGACAAATGCGCATCTTGACAGCCTTCCGTCGGATATTTTGGCCACCATATTGATCAGCATGGCATACGGCCTCTAAACGATAGAATCCGCATCATCAGTGACTTTCCGGCCCCGACTACGTTAGCCACTATTCGCCGTTTCAACGGCATGCTCAACTATTATCGTCGTTTTCTTCCACACTGGGCCAATTTGCAAAGTCCACTAACCGACTTACTTCGTGGACGTAAAAACGGTCAGGTGCAACTGACTGCTGCATCTACCGACGCGTTCAAGGCTAACAGAGGCCTTAGTCAAGACCGTTAAGCTTCACCATTTCGATCCGAACACCCCGCTCAGTGTTGCTGTTGACGCATCGTACACCGCTATGGGCGCCGTCCCACAGCAACAAGCAAATGGATGCTGGAAACCTCTTGCTTTCTACTCTGGATGCCTACAACCTGCTGAAGTCAAGTACAGTACGTTCAGTTGCGAACTGCTGGCCGTTTACTCTACCGCCCGACATTTCCGACACGTCCTTGAAGGTAACACCTTCATTATCTTCACCGATCACAAGCCGCTTATCTACGCATTCCGAAACCAAGCAGCTCGACACGCACCACGTGAGATTCGTCAGCTGGATTTTATTACTCAAGTCTCGACCGATATCCGACACATTTCTGGTCAACAAAACGTCGTCGCCGATGCTCTTTCACGAGTATCTGCGATCGGCCTTGCCGGGCAGGCAATCGATTTGTTTGTTATGGCCGCCGCGCAATCAAAGGATCAACGTTTTCGGAACTCCGTCATTCTTCTTTGAAAATATACTCACACCCTATTCCGTCATCTGATGGTACGATTTTATGCGACACATCTACCGGACGACCACGACCCGTCATTCCAGAAACCTTTCGCCGTATCGTTTTTGACACCCTCCACAATATCGCCCACCCAGGCATTAAAGCTACTGCTAGGCTTGTCTCCGAGAGATACGTTTGGCCGGAGATGCAACGCAATCTTAGGCGCTGGGCACGCAGCCGCCTCACCTATCAGCAAGCCAAGATTCAGCGGCACGTATCCGCTCCGCTTGGTCGCTTTCCGCCAGTTTCAGCTCATTTTGCCCAGGTCCATGTTGAGATAATTGGACACTTGGCCCCGCCCAAATGAATGGCCAACATTTTGACCATGAACGATCGTTGCACCCGTTGGCCCGAAGCCGTTCCCATCCCTGACGTAGCTGCGGAAACTGTAACGCGCACTTTCCTCGAGCCTTGGGTCGCTTCACACGGCTGTGCAGCCACAGTGACGATAGAGCGCGGTCCGAAATTGGAACCTTCGACCTTTAACGATCACAAACTCGTTGGATGCCGCTGCATTCGCGCGACCGCCTATCATCCGCAGGCGAACGGTATGGTGAAATGTTTCCAACGACAGCTGAAAGCCTCACTTAGCGCCGCCAATGCGCGGAGATGGACTGAGGTGCTGCGTATGATCCTCCTTGGGATCCGATCAGCCCTAAAGGCTGATCTAGGTACGTCTAGCGCCGAGTTATTATATGGACAACCACTGCGTTTACCTGGCGATTTCTTCTCCGATAGTCCCAGAATTCCCCGTTACGACTCGAATTATGCTTGTCAGCTAGCCACGAGCATGCGTCACTACAAGCTTCCCGACGTTAGAAAACAACGATGTAAATCTTTTGTTCCACAAGACCTGCAGCGTTGTCTGATGAGGTTTCTCTGCCTCAATGGTTTATACAGACCACTGGAGCGACCTTACAAAGGTCGTTTCAAGATTCTGCCGCGTAAGGATCCTGCCTTTATCATCGAACGTCACAGTAAACGAGAAGTCGTTCCGAGTGACCGTCCCAAGGTTGCCCACGTGGAACCTGAGCTCGATAGAGACCGTTGCTTGTCTTGTGATGAATCAACCCAGCCTATGATGGAAGACTTGCTTGCTTCCAACACCACTGACCTCAACCATCACCTTCCATCAAAACCTTCCACTTCAGACCCGCTGTTTCCTATCGAACCAACCGCCACATCTTCAACAATTACTCGGGCTTTGCGATCCTATGGAACATCTAAGACGACTCCTTCTTCCGATCCACACAAGTAGACTAGGTCGGGTACGCACGTTCGTTGTCCAACACGATTAAGGGATTAGTATTCCTTCTAATTTTCCTTTCCCACTCTCCTTTTCCCTTTTGGTCAACACTGTATGGAAAGCCAAAAAATCGGCATAAGCTTTTGAAAACGGCAAGTTTTGAAAACGCAAAAGGAAACGGTTTTGAAAACACATAAAAAGAGTTGCATTTTGTTTGACGCCTACCTTATTCCGTAAGTGTCACTCTTCCTTTTGCCTTCGCCACCACTGTCACTACTCTTATTTCCGTTTATCCTCCAAGTATGAACCGGAGGAGATAACGAGCCTAAAGCAAACCTCCGACGTTGACGAACTTTCCCCCCTTTTTTGTGTTTTTGGCACCTTCAGGGAGGACACGGGTAGGAGTCCCCTAGGGCCCGATCTCCTGGTTTTCCCCTAGCAGCTGCATTAGGTTTCACTACCTGGTCTCGCAGAGAGCTGGCCAGTGACGGGCAGTCCTCACGTAGATCGAAGGGTCACCCACAGTTTCCCTTCTAGGAGAGGGGTTGTATAGTGACATGGAGATTCCCCCGTATGACTGTGCAATTTATTCTAAAATATTCTAATATTATCGTCTACTTAGGTATTAGGGAATTAAGTGGCTTGCTTGTCGGAACTTCGTTCTCGAAATGAAATTAACCAAGCCATGCTTTTTCGCAGGTATATGGATGACATCCTGCTCATTTGTAATAAAGAGATCCATCTCAGTCAACTGAGTAACAAATTAAATAGCCTACACCAAAACATCACGGTGACAACGGAACATGAGCAGAATGATAGTTTGCCGTATTTGAACATCTTGATAGAAGGAAGGAACGATGGATCGATACGTAGATCTGTCTACCGCAAACCCACATGGAAGGGTCAGTATTTGAACTTCATAGCTTTGTCCCAAAGCGCTACAAACAGGGCCTGGTGCGGACTCTGTTTGATAGAGCGAGGAAAATATGCACTCCTGACACGCACGAACAGGAGATGCAACTGCTCACCAACACCCTGAGAGAAAACGGGTACCCGCCTGCTTTCGTCGCTCAATTTAGCAACCAGGTAGCAGAAGAGAAAGTACCCACGGTACCGAAATTGAAAATAATGCTGCAACTACCGTTTAAGGGGAAGATATAAGCCGAGTATTTCAACGACGTTTGAAATTCGCAGTGGCACGTGTGTACCCCGCGGCGCAACCCGTATTACTGTACACAACGACTCGCATCCCTACTCCGTCGGTTAAGCACCAGTACCTGTCCAACCGTTCACACGTCCTTTACCAATTTACATGTACTTTCAAGGCCGACTATGTGGGTGTGACAGAGCGTCAACTGCAGGTGAGAATTGCGAAGCATTTACCGAAGTGGGTGAGACGACATGTCTCGCAAACGACCTCAACCGTCGCCCCAAGTGCTAACGATTTGCCATACAAAGCTCCAGCTTCGTCAATCGCCCGACACCTGCTGACAGAGACACAACGTGGACCCTGCGTGCACATTCCGGGTGATCTTCGCGTCAAATAACACCCACGTTTTACGATATGACGAAGCTGTTGTCATCAAACAACTGGGCCCCACCCTATGTGTACAAAATACGTGTTCGTCACCTTTGTTCTGCCGTGGTAGTGGGCCAGCTGACAAAGTAACAGGTGTGTGACTGATTTTGTGTGTTTATCGGCGTATGTTCTTTGGTGAAATTACCATCCCAACTATACCAGATGTTCATGATGCTGTGTACCTATGTTTGTACGCAATCTGCGGTACGCGCTTGATAATATGCAGAGAAATTTTTCCGGAGATAAATCGTACGGTGATAACATGCTAACGTTCTTGTTGAAAATCCCATAGGGAAAGAATGTTCCAGTTACCCGTCGTTATCTTCGTACAACTACCCAGTCACCGGATTCACCTCAGTTCGATGGGCGATGCGCAGCTATTTTGGCACGATCAGCTTGACTGGAGACGGTGTTTGTACGTGCGTCGTGCCTGCTACTTGAGGCGAATGGTCGTAGTGCAGGCATTAACATCGGCGGATGTTAGTTTAATAGACAAAAGCCGGACCCGTGACCAGTCCCAGCTCAGAGGATTAGCTGGGTGGACCTAACGAAGCGGATCTGATGCTGATGTGGATAGCGAGCATAAAGTGGAGGACTAACCAGCGTCCACACCACATGTGTTAGCGCGTTTGCTGCGATAGGCAAGCGCGCATTGTCGATCGATTTTGAAGGTCAAACTGATGTGGTGAGCGCAAAAAGCGAGCGCATGGCTCAGTGCGTCACCGGCGCCGCAGCGCGACCAACCATTCGCCGAGTCGGCTGGAACGACTTTTCAACCAATTAGCTGTCGGATTGCTTCTGACAGGGCATCGCGGAGCCAATGGACATGCGATAAGCGATGCACACATGTCGCGCTGCTCTAAGTCGTCTTGTTGGCTTAGCTTCATGGCCCCGAGAGCGAGTTTCACCTGATCTCGTGGCGTGCCGTTGTTGTTGTTGGGGATGCCGAAGTGCCCAAGTTGCCAGAAGGAAGTTTACTTTGGTAGGTTCAGAATAACCACGTGGTTTACCATTCTTATGGTTGACTAGCTGAGCGAGTAACCTCGTTGGGCAAAGATTGGCACCGTCCTTGCCTCAAGTGCGCGCGATGTTCAAAAACGTTGGCACCGGGGTCGCATAGTGAGGTGAGTCGGTTGTTACTTTTGCTGCGCTTTAATATTATGTACGTTTTTGGGGAAAGGGGTACTATTGCTTCCAATCTCGTAAGGTACATCCAAAACGGACCTAGAGCTGGAGGCTCGTCTACGCATGCCTGCAATGTGCACCGATAAGGATAACGTTACGGTCCTAAGAAGAGCATCTTGTTCCCGATTATTTACGTATAGTCCTTGGGGCAGCTGATGGCGTACATTTTCTAATGGCCCTTGACAATGCATTCGTAACACCATCTCTCAGTTCGATCTCTGGGTCCGAACAGAACTGGAACTGGTGTGCCCAAGGACCCTGTTCGCCGGACGCCCGAAATTAGTCCTATATACACTTTTCGGTCACTCATCGGACATTCAGAACATAAACCGCAGCTGTTCGTCACACATTTTCTCCCGTACAATTAATTCATATACTTCATCTTCATTTGCGAGCGCACGAGGAATGCGTGAGATCTTTTTTCAGGGAGACGTACGGGATTATTTTGAATGAGTGAAACTTGGTAATGTGCGAGAAGCTATGACATATAAGAGCGCTTATGTAACGAAAGACCGCGCCTTTTGTTCTGAGTGACCGAAAAGTCTATTATTGATACTAATTTTGGGTGTACTTCGGACGCAGATCGGGATGTGCCGATAGACTGATCCGTTGGTAAAACTGCACTTTGGTTCCGCGATTACTGCTATCCGAGAGACCCCCTTCCATCTCACAGATCTTAGCCACCATTCTATAACCTAGACCATCATGTAATCGGATCCATTGCCACAGCGATTAGACCTTTGGTATGTTGCCATGGTGATTTGATAGATAACCAAGGTGGCCATCGTCAGCTAAATCAGGCTGTCAATAACTGGAAATGCATTAATACCACCGGGGTTTCACTACGTGGGACAACAACCGATGTCATGAAAACCGATAAAACTGTTACTCTTATTCCCATCCTTAGTATTATTTTCCAGTTAAGGATACCGGTGCTTTCATTCCGAAACGCTTAGAAACGTTATCAAAACTGCAGAATTAAAGATCGCTCTTAGTTTGGAAATGGTAGAGCTGCTTATCTCTCACATCCACCACCACATGAGACTCACTGTGATATATCCTTCAGTACATGTGGTAGGTGATCCACCACACTGTTAGGATGCTATTTTGGCAGACTCCGCACTTCTTCACTGGAATGGGTTCTTCATTCGAACATATTATTTTCAGCTCTTTTCCGGCCGGCATTTTGTGTGACTATCCTGTTTTTATTTCACCGTAATGTTATTATCGGCTTTATGCGCCAGCGCACTTTTGTCTGTCCTCTGTTGTTTGAGTCACATCCATGTGCTAGACTAGAAGAGTTGAACTAATCCGTGTTGGTTTGGGCATCGAAACCTTTCTAACCCGTAATTACTCTCTTGCCGACTTGCATGACGTATCTTCAATTGCTCGAGCCGCGTTCGAAATACTAACGCTTAGTGCTGCTCGCTTTCAACAAGGCAGTTCGCGACTTGTTATGTTGTCTTCAGGTGAAAACAATCCTTGCTAGGAAGAGCAATTGGGTCTCTATGACGTAAGTTTGTCGGCCCTTATTTGTCCGCAAACGCGTCCAGCGTGATCCCGAGTTGAAGTTAGCCGTGGGATTGCGAGTGATACTGGCGTCCATTAGTTGGTGCCTTTCTGAAATGTTTGTTATTTGGATAGCACACTTCAGTTTGATCATGTCCTTTTAGTGCTATTGTTTATCGTTACTTCATCTTGACGTAATCAGTTGCGGACATGTCTAAGAATCATATTGAAACTTTCCGAACGGCTGAATCAGGTTGTTGGAATTGGTTTCCCTGGACAGAGACTATGGCTCGGACATCTCAGTCGTCAGACCCTATCACGTTTGAACCGATTTTACTTTATGTTCTGGCCCTTCACTTTTTAGCTATCTTTTATCCCCCTTTTTGAGTCAAATTTTTCACTCTCACTTCCGAACCGTCTTAATCACTGTTGCCCTCATCCTCGACTTGATGCGCAGACCCCGCTTGACCAACTGAGGCGAACAAAATGTGGACCGTGCGGGGCTGGCTGTCGTAGGGGGGGGGGGGGATGAATGAACTGACGAGTCGGTGCGACTTAGGTTGGAATCAGTAATTGAACTTTCTAATACTGTAGATTGGTATGACTACCCGGTTGCTTATTTTCCTATCCACCTAACTCCACAGGAAGGGTGGACTAACTGGTATTATGTCGACGTCGGTGGGGATGTCAGGTTCGTTCGCTTCTACCCCTTGAAAACACAGCAGTAGGGGATTTGTTACCCAAAGGCAACATACCATACATAGACTAATTCAGTAGCTACTGACAATCAACAACAGTGGCCGTACCTTCGAGCTCCATCTAACGGCCATAGGTGGAGGATTAAGTTCATTCAGGTGGGATCCGAACAGTGGAAGAATCCCATGAATGTTCAACCTTGTAACACGTCGTTGATCCCAGAGTGAAATTTGTGGAGCGATCTTCAAGGAGAAGCCAAATCAACATGCACGGTACACTCTACGGTCAACCAAACAGTGCAATCCCCGCTGTGCCTGACACCTGTAGTGAAGCAAAAGACGCATAAAAACAAGGAAAGATGGGACAATGAATGTGTCAATTTTGGAATGCAAATGGAAAGTTAAAAACGAGTAAGCTTCAACAGATAGGAACAAAACTAAGATGTGAAACGGAAGATTTTACACTGCAGACCAATGGCGTACAGTCGATGTTTGAACTCTTACACCGTTGATGCCATCATTGCTTCAGCGGATAGCGCATTTCAAGGGTCTATAACTCTACATGATAACCGAGAATCAGTTCCAACTTCAGTGGATGGCCACAAAGGGTTGGCATCCGAGTGGGATGGAACAGCCCAGATACATCAGCGCCGATTTGGCCCGTTACTATGCGATAAATGAGGATCAGGTCGCCCCGAAATCGTCTGTAGTACATAAAAAACGTGTCCAGCTTAAATAGCCTCTCAGGATGCAACAGCCACTTTAATTCAAGTACTGTTTTCGTCCCCTACCTTAAGACTCGTTCAACTGCCATCTTGTCCCGGACTAGGCAGTGGAGACAAGCCTGTACGCAGTATTCTAAGTGTGGCCTAACCAAGGCTGCAAATGTTCTTGCCAACATTTCACTTGTCATAATCCCGAATGGATCATGACGAACCTGTTCGACCGATATGCTCAGGTAACTAGTCGTAATATGGCGTAGCTCACTCTCCATCGATCTTCGTGTCAATGTCATTCAAGAGGACTGGACACCCCCTCCCCTAAGACCAACAGGTTTTCAATTTCTACTCACCAGTTGGTATATCATATTAATTGCAATATGTGTATTTTTTGAATGTGCGAGTTGTTCCTGTAATATGAATAGATCATTGGCTGCAGTTATGAGCATATTCTTGCATGAGTGAGATAAATAACTAGTAGTATGTGTTGCTAAAATGCTCGGAAACACACTGTTTTTGTTAGTGTTGGGTTTTAGGTCACAGATTCTTCCACTGGCTACATAAGTATGATCTACGTTTATTTTTGGTTCTTCGTGGAGGCTTCCATTTGGCGATTTTCCTGATACAATGGCCATTTCCCTGTTCTGGTCCAGGAAACTTCAAGTTTAATGTGGAATTTTCCTGCATTTGTACCATATTTAATCGTGACTGTTGGGCTATACCACCGGAGCGCGTCTCTGACTATAAAAGAGTTAGGGCGAATTTCTGTCTTAGTTCTTGGTACAACTGGTTCACATGTCCTGTTGCGAAGCCTCCGAGTGAAATCACGTTGCAGTTCTGTAAACATTAGAACTGCAACATGATTTCACTCGGAGGCTTCGCAACAGGACATGTGAACCAGTTGTACCAAGAACTAAGACAGAAATTCGCCCTAACTCTTTTATAGTCAGAGACGCGCTCCGATGGTATAGCCCAACAGTCACGATCAAATATGGTACAAATGCAGGAAAATTCCTCATTAAACTTGAAGTTTCCTGGACCAGAACACGGAAATGGCCATTGTATCAGGAAAATCGCCAAATGGAAGCTTCCACCAAGGACTAGAGTATCGTTTACTTTATCAGATTGAGAAGCGGTTCCAAGCTGTGTTTCGCTCGTCGCAACCAACGAGGTTCGAGCTGAAACTGCTGGCAACGCTCCTGATAGCTTAAGATAGACGCTTTACCAAACAGACGGTTACTGAGTGGTCTTTGCATACTTTCCAGAGCTTCTCTGTTACCCATACGCATGCTTCCATAAATTATGCTGCCACACGCAGGGATGGGATCTGTAAGAGTTATGTAAACTTTGGTTTTTGCACGAACTGTTCTGATTTTGTAGTATGTGTTAACCATTGATCGTTTGGCGTACCGTTTACTATTCGGCTTGCTCTGACTTTCTGGCATGTCAGCCATAGACTACCTGATCCGCGCCATTTGACTTCCGGCCTACTCTGAGAAGTTGAAGTTTTAAACAGGTTAACCATTGCTGAGTGTGCTGAAATAACAAAGTCGCAGTGCAATAGCTCTCTAGCTGTTACACATTTCAAGAGCATTATACTTGGTCCCGTTTTAGTTTACACTGTAAAAGGACACTACACTACACCGTTAGCTATGTGCCGTCTCAACATTCCCCACGTGGGAATCCTAATCATATGTTAGGGTTGCAAGACGGAGCATAGGCACTTTAGTTCGGTTCAATGGATCAATTATGTTCCATGCACCGAAGCCCGGTGGATCCTGTTACCCAAATACCAATATCACCAATAGGCAAACGATGACCTGCCATACCTAGCACGTGCCGAAGCCAACGCAACTTATTCAGTGCTATCTGTTGTTCTAGGGAACTAGCATGATTAACACTACCTAGTATTCGCCTACGCACATCATCGTTGCGGACACGCTGTTGCCATCTGACTCCAGCAATGCTTCGCAGACAACGATGATCAAAGACTTGAAGGCGCATCAGATCATCAAACCGTAGGGGTAAGTTTCACTACCATAGAGCGGGACGGCCCTCACTGTAGCCTTGTACACACGGCCTTTCAGGCGGAGGGAAACTCCCTTCTGTCGCCAAAGATACCGCATGTTCAGGAATGCAGCTCTGGCGTTTGCATTGAGTGAGCTGACGTCAGTTTCTATGCCCCTATCGTTGCTGATGTAGCTGCCAAGATAAGTGAATTGATCAACCACTGCGAGTTCGTCGTTAGCAAGGGTCAATGAGTCATAAAGTGGCTGGTGACCCTGCAGCAACACTTTGCACTTTGAAGGTGCGTAGCGCATACCAAATAATGGGACCAGTCTAGACAGGCTATTCAGGGTTGATTGTGCCGCCGTAACATCATCGAAACGCAAGACGATATCATCCGCATAATCAAGATCAACTAACTTTTCACCAGACAGGACCTCAACGCCTACATCGTGAGATTCCGCAAGCAAACACTCCATGATAGTCCACGACGAAATTGAACAAAATGGGAAATCGAACAACCCTGACGAACGCCATTTGTGGTCGGAAACCTATCTGACAGGTCACCGTAGACCCTGACGCGGCCAGTGGTTTTTGAGTATGGAGCACGAAGGATCTTCACATATTTCGTGGGAACACCTTTCCGCGCAAGTGTTTCGAACAGAATGGATCGACTGACTGAACCGAATGCACTCTTGAAATCGAGGATCACAGTTATCGTCTGTATGGGGTATGCGTGGCGCTGCTCTAGCACCTGCCGCAGAGTGAATATATGGTCTACACAGCCACCTCCT